ATAATTGTCTATGAAGTAAAATACTTCCTTCGGTAGAAATTGTCCGTTCACTTAGGACAGAATACCCTGTCTCTACCTGATAATGGTATTACATTGCATCACAACGTAGATTTGAGACACGCTCTCTAATTTCGTATTTTGTTAAGCTTTAGTAAAATGAAAAAGCTTAAATTAATTATACGTCATAACCTGCTCATATCTGAGACGAAATCAATTGTATACTTTATATATTGTTCTTCTGGATAATGAATAAAACGTGGAAATGAAACATTCCACAGGCTAAGTTAGAGATTGCAAAAAAAAGCGTATGGTCATATGAGCGACCACGTGCCACCCTTCCGTTCTAAAAAAATCGATTTTTTTTTTCTCTTTCAGCATAAGTACAGTTTTCGGAAAACACACACTTAGTAACGATAATAATACTCATACATGTATGATTTTTTTTGAGAAATACGAGAAAATTTATTAAGATTCAACAAACACGATGGTATAAAAACCATCAGTGAATGGCATCCTATTTCTTTGTTTATATATTGAATCGATCTGTGATTCTTTTTTTACCGCACTATTCCAATAATTAGCCAACACTTCCAATTTGTGCGGAGCCTATGGAGAATCGCGGACAATAGCGCTCTTCATAGTCTTCACTGGTACGTAAAGTTCTCATCTGACATCTGAGTGCTACCTAAACCCTGTCGGCCGTAGAGATAATAGTCGTGCAAGTACCGTTACAACACTTTGCCTTCAGTCAAAGGATTTCTATTATACTCATTCCAACGCATTTAACAGAAATGAGCATTGGTCTTAGTTAAACGAAGCTCTTTATCATAGGTAGACTATAAGGTTTCGATTCAATCCCACAGTTAGCTTCTGCTTTTCGTAGAGTTGTTCTGTTGAGCCAAAACTTTGACAATAAATAGAGGAAAAAAAAAAATCCATTCCGTAAGGCTATCCTGCAAGGCGCATTCGTTCCAAATATGTTAATTAGGAAAGCCCTTATAGGGATCCGTAATAACGAACCTTTTCGTTTTTTTCTAACACAAACTGGACATTTGTTTTTACATCGTAATAGCTTGACAGAGATATGTGTTACCACGAATAAACGAGTCGAAAAAAAGAAACAAAAATAAATGTACTTTTCCGACCAAGCAAGGAACGCTATCTTTTTGTAAGAACTTGGCTTAACTTTGGCATTAATCAACGGCTGTTAACAGCTTAGTCAGATGGGTAACAAACCTAAAATGAAGATCAAATAGCAAAGATAAAGATGGGTAACCGAGCCACAGTTATGATTGCAGTAATTCGTAAAAACTTTATGACGTATCAATGTAAAATAAACATTTGCTTTCCCATGTTGTTTATATGGTCTTAGGTTTGAAAATATCCAAGTAAATTCTAGTTTCTTTTAGAGTGGAACGGCTATCAGAACCTTGAGTTAAGGACCTTGTAAGTGATTTTCGGCCAGCGGTCCCCAAAGAACGGACAGTCGACTTAAAAGCAAACAAATAATAAGCGTTAAATTCTGGGCTTTGATGATCGTATAGACGTCTCAATATTCGTAATCGCCAGTGGAAGAAGCTCGCCTCCGCCAAGCAGGCAGCATAAAGCTATTATTGAACATACAAAAATAACAGTATCGTAAAACTTAGCAACAAAAACGTGTCTGTTCATCTTTCTTTTAACAAAGTATGCGAAAACCAATTTTGTAGATCACACTTCATGAAGCCATCAAAATAAGGTCATGGACAACTCTTAGTTGTAGTTACGTTTAAATGTAGTCTTCCCATAAAGGGTTGGCTCAGCACGTACTTGCCAACAGGCCAATAGACTTTGCCAAGGGAACACACACACACACCCTTTTCATGGATTTACCGAGAATCTACCGTTTTGTGATATCATGTTGGATTCATTGATAATGATACCTCTTTGTCTAGCTTGTGCCCTTCGGAAATTTTCGATATATCATGCATTCTTTATCTGATGTACAATGTATTTGATTTTTCTTTTGATTTGGACAGAAAAAGCAATGACCAACGTCGGGCGAATAACGCGAATGCTAGAGCTGAAGACCAGAAAACCTCGAGACGGACCACCTCCACTAGCACTTGACGCTATAAGGTACGCAAAACCATAACGGAATATCTGAAGGCATTTTCCGTACTTGTAATCACCACAGACAAACAGATTACAGAAATGGGTAGACTCGTACTAGACCCTTTCTTTGACGTTTCTGGCAGTAATAGATGTACAGACGTCCGTTGAAATGATTTATGTCTATCGGTTCTAGAAAATTGAAGCTCGCGATTACCCCAAATTTTTCAACTGGAGTACACGACTTTACTTCAGTTTAAGCCACAAAAGGGAGAAACACAGTCAAAGCATCTCTGTCAGAATAATCGCGGCGAGAATATCTTCAAGACATTTCTTCAACGACACATTTGTTAAATCGATCCGGTCGTTTACCATAGCTGATCTTCCACTGACGGACCAAAGTCATTGTAACAGTTAAATTGGCAAGGCCACAATGTTTTCGTCACATAAAACGCCAAAAACAACGTCGCACTGTTACAAAAGCACTGAGGCTCTAAACAACTCCAATGCGCTCAGTCGTGCTACGCCCCAAGAAGATCTCACGCTAACCACGTAAACCCAAAACAAGGGGTATCTTATTACCCGTGGTTCGGTAGGATACTGCAGTAATACATAAACGTCTTTTAGTCCATACAGCTGATAGTATAGGTTATATTCTACCGTATGAACCAAATACTATTAGCACAACCAGCTCTACAACGTCTTTTGTTTGGTTTCATGTTTATTTATTCATCTAAGCAGCTAAATCATGGTATGTAGTCTGAAGTTATCAATCTAAAGTTAAGCTATCAAAGGCTACTGCTTTGGGCACACTTATTAACTCTAGTCAACTTTAAAGAAATGCATTCATTGACAAATCTATTAATGGTTGATAACGCCTATACAAAACAATATTTTCCTACCCGAATGAGTTCGACCGACGTAACGTTGTTAGTCGATCGTTGGCTTCAGACATGCAGCTGTCCTGGAAACATTTAATTACTTGAAAATAGAATTTGTATCAAAAGTTAAGTGGATCACGTGCAGCAATGCCATCATGTGGTATTGCCGCAGCCCCCTCGTCAAGCCGAGGCGCCAGCCAAATTTATATGTAATTTCCCACTATACAGATGAAGTTCATTGTCGAAGACTACTGCTTTTATCACCCCCTTCCGATGTACACAGCCCTCACGTAACGCGTCATCGTATTGAGCGGATGTACACGATGCACACACCATACGGCTTATACATCTACGCTGGTTTATTATATAACACAACACAAAACGGTGACTGACTTCACTGTGCTTCGTGAGTCTCGACCGGTCGCGAAGGCACGTGGGGGAAAGTGAGAAAACAAGTGACCAGATGAGAAGTGAGTCATTTAGAAACAAAAAAAAAATAGCGGCAGAGAATAACGGCATGTACGAAAGCCGAGTTAATGGGGTGAGGTAAACGGACTGAAGGAGACAGCAACCAGCTCAGCCCTATAAAACTGATGGCTCGCAAACGCTGTCTTTTGGCTTCGGTCCGTCTTTGTCGGTTCGTTAGCTGGGTGCTTAGTTGACCGAGCAACGGCGATCTATCGCATCAGCAAAAGAAGCCCCGGCGGCAATCACGTAACCATTAAATTATCCAACTATGAACGGCGACCCCATATTATGTAGCTTTCTTCCAGATCTCCTCCTTATTTGCACGTCATTTTTTTCCTATGTCTGTCTCTCCTCGCCTCTCGATCCGCTTGTTTACCAATTGTCATCTATTTTATTTCTTTCGCTGTCTGCGCCGGTGCCTTTGAGCATTTATCTTAATGCGCGACGCATGTGAAGCAATGGAATACGCATTAAATGGCCGCGGTATCGTACATTACCTCTGCTGCGGCTGTCATCTGGTCCGATGCTAACACGAGGTCCGATCAATATGAACGAACCCGTTTATAGAAGGGTGACGGTACTGATGGTGGCGACGTCGACGGAAATCGAACGAAAATGCGGGCGTAGCCCTTATGGGGACCGAAGGCGACTATAGTAAACCTAACCGGAAAAAAGCCGGCAGCGAAATTGAGCGCGCTGTTGGTTGATTGAATTTTGTAGACGATATAATCGTCGCTTGTTACGATAGGTCTCCACAGCAAACAACGCGTTGTGTACCTATATATAATAGAGAGAAAAAGAAAAACAAAAGTAGGGACGCATATATGGTGGAGCCGTATTCATGCTGGCCTCTTTAGTGGGTGAAAACACTTCGTGTTGCGGTGCTGTATCTAATAACGATGTAGCTTGGTTTGGAGTAGTTTGGAATAGTGACTTTGATTTCTGAGTTTTTCTATTGTCAAAAGTAATTGAATGTCATTGCTTCTCTGAAGGACGATGGAGCGGCTTTTGAAGAAAAACGTAACTAATCGATTCCTTATTGATTGCCACATATAGATCAAGTGTAAATTGCACATTTCAAAACATTAAACGCACATACGGCGGCCGAATTGAGAACGTTTCACTTTCTATACCTTCACTTTTGTACAGGATGATTTAAAAGTCGCTGTACAGTTACTGAAGTGGGTTAACAGCTGCTATGTTCCTATCTTGAATTGACGGGTGACTTTTAAATCACTCGGTGTATAACTTAACTCCTATGAAGGTACTTATTGATTATTGAGGTGATTAGGTGAAGATTCCTCTTCACCATCAACGACCGAAAGGATCTTCACGGTGCCACTCAGTGTAGGAACTAAGGTTACCAAGCAAATGTAATCGACAACATTGAAAGCCCGCGTTCTCTCTAGTTACGAACGATTTGTTTCCTTCTGCTATTCGTTCCCTCTCCCATTTCCCTCCTCCTATTTTTTTCCGTCAGAATAGATTAGACAGATGCCTTCTAAATTTAAGTTCTATTTTTTAGTCCTCACTACGTAGACTTCCTCCAGCGCCACTAGGCAAGTGTAACTCGCAGGTGACAGTGAGTGACTTGCATTTCGATGAAAAACTATATCATAATAAAGTAAAATGACGAATGTCGCGCCACAGAAAATTACCTTTAGTCTGTTACATTTTCATGTTTATAAAGATATTGCCAGTGAGAGACTGCAAGAATAAGTGCTGGAACTACTAAGTGTGTCAGTCTAATTGCTTTGGAGATGAAACTGTTTGATTGACGCGTAAAAGGCGTTCAATACAACTGGTTCTGGGTGAGGAGACGTTTATGGGTATAGCTAAGGAAGGAGACGCCTAAGCCTACCTAAGGAGAAAAATGTGATTTTCACCTGGGAATAAGTACGTTTATTTAACAATATTGCTTTATTGAAGGCAATCTATTAGTGCTATGTATTGAAATCATGACGACTAATTTCTCTATACGAAAGATAGAAACATCCAGCACGAATTTATCATATATACGAAAATATTTAACACACACTAATTATACACACTTACCTCGTAGAAGCGTCCCGTATTATAACATAGAAAAATAATAACAACTCATTATTGATTATTATAAATAGGGAAATGTGAGTTTTACTCCAAGTTACGTTTAATAAGTTATGATTGAAAATGTTAAAGTTATCATCGTGCCAATTTCAATAGTACACTAAATTAGTTCAAAATCTATAATATCGTTTGCACAACCCAAACGGATATTCCGGTTCGATGGCTCAAAGCAATGACCATTGTGCTTGCATAAACGAGTAGCCTTATCTATAATATGTCTTTATCTATTACATAACAGCTATCTACTCATCTACACATTATGTGCTTATATTATTCACAAAACAATATATATATATATTGTTTGTTATTATAT